AATTAAAATAAAATAATATATATATATATTATTATATATATATATATATATATATATATATATACACACACACACATATATCTGTTTATACACAAGCTCTCCATGTGTTAATATGAACACCACCACACTGTTCAACATACTTATAAAATATTATAGTAAACTAATATTTACAAACACCACCACCAATTGATGCATTCGATTTGACTGGAAAGGAATTACTTCAAAACTACATAGCAGATTAGGGCAGTATTTTAAAAAATTTAAGGGCAGTAAAAAAAGATCAATACAAACATAGTATAGCTCAAAATAAAGCTATTCTCAAAAGATGTCTAACACACACAAATGTGGCCAAAGACTCCACTGACAATAAGCCAGGAAACATTTATGCTCCAAATTCTGATTCAAAATAGTTTATAGCTACCTATTTTAGTGGAGGGAAATCCCAATGTTTGACGACTGTGGAAAAGCAAACATGAGAAACTTCATTCTTTTTCAACCAGATATTTGTTTATGGTACATTTATAACATATAATACATTTAAAACAGTGACAACTCATATGAGCCCAAGAAAAACAAAATTATGAGTTGTCCAATTGCCACTAGATGGCAGAATATCATCAAGTACCTGCATGAGTAGTATTTACTTCAGCTAAACTGTAGATTAAAAAAAAACATGTTAGGAAGTTAGTTCGGCTCATCTGAACAAACAAGAAGCTTCAATTTTTAAAAAGTGATTTATATAAACAGTATAATCATGCAAAAATCTAGAATTAAAGTTATCTGAAGGTCACACTCAACACTCTCACTCATAAGGTCCTAGGTCCATAATCCACATAACTATGAAAGAATCGAGTGTCGTTGAGCAGGTGGCACATATACACACTAGGTTTGGTGCTGTTCTCCCAGCAACTGCATTCCAAGGCAGAAGCATACTGCTGCAGTGCTAGAAGCTGCTATGGAAAGAGAGAGGAAGCGCTTAAAATAAGATAAAGGGTTGAGGATAGCTCAGGAAGGGTGTGGGCACAACAAACATGTCAGAAGCACAGTACATATTTCTTAATTTAAACAAGCTACCAAAACTGTTTAAAATGTTTTAAATTACTGAACATAGCCTGGATACAAAATTTTAAATTTCAGTGTGATGCAGTTTAGAAGTTGATACGGTAACAGGATTGAATTTAGCAATTTAGAATTTATAATAGAAACATCAACTGATTTCAGTATTACTTAAAAGTAGCATATACCCATGTTGCTATAAATGAAAACTAATCATTTAATTAAATAGAAAAATATACAGACTTTATATGTTATTTGAAAAACCTAAAGAGGAAAGAATTAGAGTATGTAACACTATGTCTATTCAGGTAGTTTTAAAAAAGAAGGATTTTTTTTTAAGCTACAATGCTTGGGTTTTATTGGGGGGAGGAAGAAAGAACAGCAGAGAATTTGTTTAAGCAGAGCTCCCCACCTCCCTATCATAGCATATCTATCACTTACCATAAAGCTTCTGGCAATTTCTCCAGACATGAGCCTGAAACATCGCCTATGTACGACTTTTCCTTTCCCTACCAATATTACCATTACCCTTCAGGAGGCTTGGAAAAACATGTAACACCTAAGAAGGCTTTGCAGCTTCTTAACCAAGCAAGCCCACAGAGGCTGCTTTCTGCTGTATAGGAACCTACCATGCAAACTCTTAATAGCTACCCTGCACTATTCTTCAAGCTACAAGAGACCGTAGCAACAGAACCAATTATCCAGTGAGTTATTAATGCAAAAATCACAAATTAAAAACACAGCAATAATGATGTTTATCCATCAAATATGATGATGCAATTACTACAGGTACTTCAATAAAATTTCTTTTTTTTTTAAATGAAGTGAGGCATTACTTTGAAAAGTGCCTCTGAAAAAATGGCATTATGAGTTCCAAATGTGTGTCTCTGAATACAAATCAAAACGTCCTCAGTTTACTAGTAAAATAAACTTTGCAACTGCCAGCCAAGTCCTGTAAACTCAGCCTGTGAGCTAAAACGTGATAGCTTCTTTCTGGCATGTGCTTCAGTAGTTCTAACCAGTAGGATTCTACAGGGAAAATTCTTCCCTCAGTTGCATCTGTGCAACCCCATTGCCTTAAGTGGGGCATTTTTCAAAGAACCACCACACTTGAACATTCTTTTGGCTTATGATTTGTTAGATTTAAGAAACGTTTCATTAAATATATTACTAAAACATACAAGATAACTTTCCCTAACTTCGTGCATAGTACATTTACAATAGAATTAACAGAACACGCGCCCCCCCCCCCACCCCAAAAAAGCAATATGATATGCACAGAAATTAAAAGGTTAAAACAACATGGTAGTTTTCAACTAACAGGAGTATAAAAAATGTTGAGCTTGGTAGTTTCAGCTTTATTTATTTATTCTGTAGTCATGCAACTGATAATAACTACTGAGGAACCTATTTTCAAACCAAAAAATTGCAAATGGCTTTGTTATAAAGGTTTAACTTGTGCAGGAAAGTGGTTACTTATGCACACAAAATTGCTACTTTAATATTAATTTTAAAATTCTTATCCATCTATAAACACTTTACTAGACATATGGATTTGTAGCATATAGTGTTATAGTAAGTAGACTGTTCTAACATTTAAAAAATTCAGAGTGAAGAAGGCACAGCAAGGCTGTCACTGTTCCAGTTATGGCCAATTACGAAGAATCAAATGGATACTTTTCATCCAATCTCTAGCACCACCAGTTTATTTTTAAATTTTTATTTCAATACAAATATTAAAACAATTCACCTCTCAAAAAAACGATACAACTCAGACTAGCCCATTAAGATCTAAATTGTAAGATTTCAGTTTGTTTAAAAACAACCCACAATCTCATAAGTCATGTCTTTCAACTTTGATTTAATAATCTAATTTAGTGAGAATCATTGGGAAGTCCATTAAGAAATTCCATTCCTTGCTCCCCACTTCCTTTGAAAACAAGTATGGGTAAATAATAGCACCATAGTTTTCCAATGACACTGACTCAAAACATTATTCATATAACAGAAAACAATTTGCATAGTTTTGGATAACAATGGATACAGATGATGTTCTATTTATTTGGATATGATTATATAGGAAATTGCACTTGGAATATACTTTCTGGCAGCAGTCAAGTGTCAAAGCAGTCAAATTTTAGGAATACAACTTTTATGGTCTTTGTAGTTACACTTGAATTTCATAGCTTTAAATGAGGAAGAAGGAATAATTTTTCAGCTGTATTTAGCCAGGATTTGAAAGCAGTCACTTACTTGTCCTTAACACACATTCAAGCAGAGAAGACTTTTCAGTGGACCATCAGGACCAGTAATCATTGTAAATCACCTCCTGAGAAAAAAAAACTATGCATAAATATTGCTTTTTTATTTTACAGTTAATATTAAAGTTAAACATGAAGTGTTTAAAATTTTAAAAAACCTTTTACTTATTCTAATCTGGAGATTTCCAGTTTGAAACCTGCTTCACAGCTGTTGCCATTCTTTACTGTAATTGTTGGACAAGATCACATTGTAATTGGAACATTTAATTTTGCAATTCCAAAGTTTATGTTGCATCTCTAATAGTACATTAAGATAAGTTATGTTTTATTTTTTCTCCTTTACATTTTTTAAAAAGGAAAAGAAAAGCCATCTGGGATGCTCTCTTCATAACTCCATAGGTTTTCGACCCTACCACTTACTAGAGACACAAAATAAAGCGATGTTACAACTGTTTACAACTACATCATTTTATAAGTGAATTCAATTCTCGTACATAGGAAGATCTAGCCACTAGTGAAGTTTGTAATTTTAAAAGTTCATCCTTTTGAATTATCAGTGTACAAAAGAACTATTAAATTCCTTTTAAAGTTGAAACATTTTCTTTTCCTTCGTTCAGAAAAGATAATTGCTACAGCCGGTTTTTTAGTTTTAATTCTCCTTCAAAACACACATCCAAGACGAAGCATGGAAAGTTCCAGGTCAAAATGAGAATTTTTGTAACGTTATGACCAGCAAGTAAAAACTGAGCATACAGACACATCTTCCCTGTACATGAGCACACTGCCTTGTGCATCATGCAAGAACAGCAAACTATTTTCAAAGCAGAAGGAAAAAGTGTACATTGTCAAGTTCCTACTGCCTAGTTTTCCTGTGAAGTTCTGAGAATAAATAATCCATTTTGTGGTGCATATTGTACAAGGTATGATTAAGTGTACTAATTAGTGAGCATTTCTGGGTCTCTATTCAGAATTACAGTAACTTAAGGAAAAGTTTCAAACAACAGCTGCGTGATTGAATTGATTTATTGAAAACTGCTTGAAGCACTATGTAAAGCAGAGGCTGTTCAAGCTAATTAGAAAAATAAATTGCTCTTGGGAAATATTTATGAGGCATTCACATGTAAAAGTACACACTATAGTCCTATCCAAAATCAAGAGTTTCAAAATTGATACTTCTACTCAGACTACTTAGTAGATAATCACTAGTAGTCAGGTGAAGAGCTTTATCCAAGCAGATCATTTCTTAAGAAATTAAACTGAAGCCTTTCAGATCAACTGGGTGTGTATGAAGTCGTCTGCTGTTTTAACCACGTCTTTGACAATACTGACTATAGTTTTATTCATATGAACAGACTTACCAATTAGAGGGGTGATTGACAATGTGGTCACATAAGAATAAGCATTAGGAGTAAATTGTCTCCTAATTAAACACCTTTGTAATAGTGTTTTATGCTAAATCAACCTCCACTAATCACAAACTAGAATGAAGACCAAAAAAAGTGAAAAAAAAATTCATAATACTGCTAAGCAAGATGCTCCATCAAAAACCCTTAATTACATTTGAACGTTACAGAAAATGAAGCCCTTCAGATGGGCATCTCAGTAAAAACTCAAATCAGCCTCATTACTTGACTATATTCAATCTTCAATGGCATGATTATTACCCCCAAAAAGGGCTACAGAGACCACTTATAGAAGTTCTCTACTGGAGAGACCGTATGAAGAAAATGAAAAGTGCAATTTACCTGCAGATGATCAAATAGGTTTGTCAAGACATCATTAACTATTTTAGAGATTAATATTAAAATTTCTAAATGTTAAGTCAAATTTTGATTTTGTTAACTGATTGTGAATTCACCATAGTCATCAATCTCAAATCAGTTTGGAAAACCAGTATCCTGCAATAACTGATGTTCTTGCAGGCAAATCCATGCAAGTACTGATACAGTTTGCCTAATCACCAAAAGAAATCCCGCTGAACATCTGAACCACTGATACGGACTGGACAGGGTGGACAGAGTCACTTACAAAAGAAGTCATCATTTTATGGAAGAGATTTGAGATCTCAAAAAATGTTCTAAAAAAATGAATAGTTTTGAAATGCTCAACTGCTCAGTCACATTAAGACAGCTAAAGTGTTAAATGCTTTGCACATATTAATTTTCCATTTAAGCAACTGTTGCAATTACCATACCGCTGTTATGAGATTGAAAATGGAAAAACTGAACATGTATTAAGTAGTGGTCCACACTATGAAAAAGTTTGAAAACTGACACTTAAATTGCTTACAATTAATTCTAGATCATTTTAGATTAAATTTGAAGCTTTGGTGACTTTTGTTCATAAATGGTGTTCAGGCAACAGGCCCAGCTATCACAAAACAAGTTAAAAGTTTAAGAGTAAACTGTGTATAGATTAACCAATTTTCAGTCATTGTCTACCTACCATTCCCATTTTCAGCATATTCACAACATTAGTGATATGGGCCATTCAAGACAGAATATACAGATTTAGCAACATTTATGCTTCATTCACTAATTATAGTTTAAAAGAATTTAATACAAAATCATCTATGAGCTATCTATTTCTGTGACTATGCCCCATCCTGTCTGTCGTTACTGATAACTAGGAAGAAATACATGGTTGATAGATGGGCTGAAAGAGAAAACAGTCACATAGCCCAAAGATTGGTTTAAGCTGACCAGGGCCGGCTCTAGGGTTTTGGCCACCCCAAGCAGCCAAACAAAACAAAACAAAACAAAACCAACAAAAAAAAGCCGCGATCGCAATCGCGATCTGCGGCAGCAATTCGGCAGGAGGTCCTTCCCGCCGAGCAGGAGTGAGGGACGGTCAGCCGAATTGCCACCGAACAGCTGGACGTGCCACCCCTCTCCGAAGTGGCCGCCCCAAGCACCTGCTTGGTAAGCTGGTGCCTGGAGCTGGTCCTGAAGCGGACTTCCGCGCTGCTGTGTTGCAAGTCTAGGTACAAGAAAGAAATATATTTTGATAAAATCGTCGTCATTTTTTGGTGGGGAAGCAGGTTTATAAATCCTGTTTGTAGGCAGAGGGTGCACTCTATGGAACATCAAATCCACTGCATCACAGAAAAGAATAAAAAAAAGAACCCCTATATATCAAAGTTTTTGGGCACAGCAACTTTGGCGGTATGCCTGAGGGTATGCCTGAGGGTAAGTGACTGGTTTGGCTGTAGCATGAGTCTGTGCCTTCCAATTCTGCCCAAGTAGACTACGCACTAGAATGTAACCACATGACCAGTCTAAAAGGGAAGATGTGTGGTGCAGAATAACTACAGTTTTTGATAAATCCTACAGGAAGGTCTTTCCAGACTAAAAAGACTATATAGATTAGTATTTTTATTAATTTGCTCTGACCATAAATCTTACAGGACCACCTTCCTGGAATGACAACTTGGAATGGTCTTTACTAAGGTTAACTAAAGCACTGTAAGTCCTACTCCATGGATAAGAGCTAGAGTAATGTAAAAAACAAACAGAAATGGAAATTTTGGTTGATAAACGAAACCAATATATAATCAAACTGAATATGGTAAAATATTACCACATATCAAAAGGGAATGAGCACATTATAACTCAGGTCAGTATTACTCTATGTTTATGTGAAATATTTTTAGCTGATGTAATAAAGCTATTAAATATTGACTTCATCATTTCAGACTTTTCACTGAAACACATACCTTTCCTTTCACTAAAACCTGGCTATTCTCATGCTATTGAAAACCTACACTGTCACATCTTGCAAGGTGTAATTCCATTATTCCTATCCTAAAACCAGAAGCTTCCTCTTCTGATCAGAGCAAGGCCATTGCATTGTGCACCATCTGAAAAGTTGCAAGTTTATTTCAAACTTGATGATCATCTAGTGTATTATTGTGCTTTATTACAGGCACTATAAAACTAAGCTAATTCCCACATGTAACAGGGTGGCTCGCCCCTGATTACAGAATGAGCCACAAATGGGAGAGATCAGGATTATTGTCCTATAAAGAACAGCAGGAGACCACAGTGAAGAGAAAAGGAGTGGGGACGGGGAAGCTCAGTAAGCTGTGGAAGGGTGTGCGAGAGCGAGGAAAGTTCTCCAAGCAGAGAGGCCTTGGAGCACAGGCACTGACTTTCCAAAGTGCCGGGGGGTGCTCAACCCCCGGCTCTGCCCCAGGCCCTGCCCCCACTCCACCCCTTCCTCCAAGGCCCCACCCTTGCCCCGCCTCTTCCTGTCCAATTCCGCTCCCTCCCTCCTCAGCCTCCCACTCGCTGCAAAACAGCTGATCGCGACGGGTGGGAGGTGTGGGGAGGTGCTGATCTGCAGGGTCCGCCGGCAGGAGGGAGGTGCTGGGGTGGGGTGGGTGAAGGGGCGTTGATAGGGGGCTGCTGGTGGGTGCTCCGCACCCACCTTTGTTCCCTGTGGGTGCTGCAGCCGCAGAGAACCTGTGGAGTCAGCGCCTATGCCTGGGAGAGATCCTGACCATGCAAGGGAGGGATTGCAAAGCTCCCCAGGCTGGAAGTCTGGGATGAAGAAGAGAAACGTTGTGTTGTGTGAACAGATTGGTTTGGGGATTTTGAGTTTTATTTGCAGTTTATTTTATATTAATAAACCTAGGCTGCAAGGAGGGGTATTTTTGACCCAAAAAGCGCCTTGGTGAAGTTTTATTTGAATACTCCAAAAAGAGAAACTGAGGTTGGTTGCTGGTAGCGTGACCAGTGCTTAATTTGTGCCAGAGCTTGCCAGGACTGAGCCCTGGCACCTCCAGGCTTTGCAATTCATAGTCCCAGCACCTCTGGGCTTGCTGCAACCATTATTAATTAATTAAAAAAAAATGCTTGAGTCCCGGCACCTCTTTCATTACAAATTAAGCACTGAGCGTGACCGTAGGCTACTGAAAGAGGCACACAGGAGGCACCTGGCCTGGTCACAAGGCAGAACAGAGAACTCAATCCCAGCACAACCCCAGTTCTCAAAACTTGGTACCTGAGTCTCTATAATCAATATCTCTGCTAATTCTGACAACACCAGTAGCACTTTCATCATATGA